CTGGTATATAGTTGTTCATTATTACTACTATTTTCTCGCCTGGTCCATTATACTCCTGCTATGAGTGAAACCATCCAGTATTTTTCCTCTTTTTTCTGGCTAATTTCACTAAACATGATCCCTTCCAGCTCCATCCATGTTGCTGCAAAAGGCATGTTTCACTTTTTGGTTGCTGAGCAATATTCCATTGTATATATATATATGTGTATCACATCTTTTTAATCCAGTCATCTACTTTTGGGCATTTGGGTTAATTCCATGTCTTTCCAATTGTAAATAAAGCAGCAATAAACATGGGGGTGCAGGTGTCTTTTTGAATCAGTGTTTTTGGGTAGATACCTAGGAGTGGGATTGCTGGGTCATATGGAAGCTCCATTTTTAGCAGTTTGAGAACCTCCAAACAGTTTTCCATAGTGGTTGTATAACAGGTGGTCCCCAGGAAAAGGGGAAGTTCCAGGTTCCCTGCCCCACCCAGAGGACGGTAGAGCTGAGCAGAGAAAGGAGAAAAAGAGAAGGAATCTGAGGAGAAGGAAGCAGGATGGAGAGCCAGAAGGAGACCTGAGGAAGCCACATGGAGCAGGGAGCATGTGATGAAGAGACCATGCTTGTTTCTTGGCCCTGGCCTGGTTGAAACAAATGTAGGTGTTGGCATCTTTTATCTTGATTTTGATTTTGTTCTTTTCCTCCCAGACTTGTCTGGCCATTTCTGACCCTTTTCTTTTGGCCCTGACCATAAGGCACTTTAGTCTTGTGGCGGGCTTTCAGGCCTTGCTTTGGACCATCCCTTTTTATTGGACTTTTACCCACAAGGGGATGGGTACTTCAGGTTTTTGATTTAGAAACTATATTCTTTGTCTTCTGTATTCTTTGTCTCTTCCGTATTGTATACTCACTGTATTAAAGTTCCTTTTCATTAAAGTCTTATATGTTTTGTTTTGATGCAGCAGGTGGAAGAACCCATTTAGAGCAAGCAGGTTTGGGGGTTCAGTGGTGCCCCTCTTTCCCTGCCCTGTAATGGTTGTACTAATTTGCATTCCTACCACCCAAGCTGGAGCTTTTAAAGTCAAGGTCCTCTCCTACTAGACAGCAGGAAATTTGATGGAAGAAATAATTGGTGATTCTTGGACTTACACATAAGTTTTGGAATCCTACGAATCTCACAATTGGAAGAAATTCCCTCAGACCATGAATCTGTATTTAAAACCACTGAGATGCTGGAAGTTGGGAAATGGTGGGCTATATATAAGAAAAACCCTGAATGAGAGTGGCTTCAGTTGCAAAACGATTTACTTATTTCACATAACAAGAAGCCTGGAGAAAGATGTGTTCAAGGATCCAGAATCTTTCCATCCTTGCATATATCATCTTCAGTGGACTTTTATCCTTAGCCTTGTTACCTCATGGTCACAAAATGGCTGCCAGCTGCAGAGCTCACAAACTCATCTTCAAGACAGGTAACAGGAGCAACCCACCTGGATCTCTTTCTCAGGCTTCCTCCATGTCCTCTTGGTCAGAACTTGCGTCCTAAACCAATCACATTGGCATATTAGCTCATTTGGTTTGAAACTATTATGGCAACCAGCTGGGGTCAGAGAAGAGATCTGTCTTTTCTGAGCAAGTTGCAGTCTGAGAAAGATGTGGCTTCTTTAAGGAAGAGGGAGAAAGACTGCTGGGTAGGTAACCAAGGGTGTGCTCCAGAAGCTGGTCTAGTCCATGGTGTCCTTATACATCCCTGGTTCTGTAACAGGGCAGGGAGAGAGGGGTACCTCTGAACCCCAAACTTGCCCTCTCTAAATCTAAATAGGTTCTGCCTATTTAAGATAAAACATATAAGACTTTAAAGAAAAGGAACTTTAATACAGTGAGTACACAACACAGAAGACAAAGAATATATTTTCTAAATCAGACACCTGAAGTTACCCATCCCCTCGTGGGTAAAAGTCAAGCCAAAAGGGATTGGCCCAAAGCAAGGCCTGAAAGCCTGCCACAAGCCGAAAGCACCTTCTAGCCAGGACAGATAGAAAAGGGTCAGAAATGGCCAGACAAGTCTGGGAGTTAAAGAGCACAATCACAATCAAGATAAACGCTGGCATATTCAACTCCCCATTGGTCTCTCACCCACATCTGTTTTACCCAGCACAGGGCCAGGAAACAAGCCCAGTTTCTTCATCACATGCTCTCTGATCCATGAGGCGTCCTCAGGTCTCCATCCTGCTTCCTTCTTCCCCTCAGATTCCTTCTCTTTTTCTCCTTTTCTCTCCTCAACTCCACCCTCCTTCTGGGTGGGGAACCTGGAACTTCCCCTTTTCCTAGGGACCACCCTTTGACAGTTCTGCTACCCTAGGCAAAACCCTACCTGGGGAGCCTAGAAGTGCAGCAAGACCAGGAACCCTGTGCTTAGGTACTGCCTGCGAGGAGTGTACAGAGTTCCCCTTGAGCTCTGTTGCAGGGCAGAGCTCAACCTTACCTATTGAGGGCTGGAGTCACAAGACCCACCCAAGGTCCAGCAAACCAACCATGAGAGTAGCTGGGCCCAGCTCCCCACGCTCAGCCTCATTGCCCCCACCAAGCCTGAGAATGGACTCATTTCCAGTCGCACTGAGCAGATGCCCTGTTGCAAATCCACTGAGGGGTGTGCTGACCTCTACGTTTGCCCAAACGTAGGAGGCTCGGAGCCGTGAGAGAATGAAGCAGGAGCCTGGGGTCTGGGGTCCCGAGTCTGTTTGTCAGGACCGTCCAAGGTTATATGTAGGGTCTGTGCATGCAGGGAAAAACAGGAACGGTGCCTGACGCAGAGGGTGGGGTGCATGTTTGTACCAGGCCTGGGGCTTCTTGTAGCTTCTGCTTGATACAAAGCAGTGGGCTGCAGCTATTTGCAGGACAGTGCACTGTGCTCTGCTGACTTGTTTGTTGGCCTTACTGGGGAGTGTGCTCACCCATGCACATTACCCAGGGCGGACAGGTGCACCTGAGGTCCTGCAGAGTTAGCCACAATGCCCATAGCGTGAGGCCAGAATCCATGAACGTCCACTCCCTACTCACCACCTTCAACTACTGTCCTTGAGAGAAACTTCCTAGACTTGAGGTAACTGTAGGGACGGGGTGAATAAACACATAGATGTTTCGTTCTAGGCTGGGATGGACTAGGGGGACACTGGGGTGCTGGGGAGACCTGGGAGACAGAGCCTGGAGGTCTTCAGGGGATTAACTTGAAGGTGCAGCCCACAACCACCTTCTTCCTCCTGCTGTGTTCTCTGCTGCCCTTGATATCTTTATGCTGTGGTCAGGGCACAGAGTGACCTGAGACGTCATTCATTCATTCAATCACTCAAGCACAGAAATTTGTTCCAAGCAGGGGTTTATATGGGCATTGGGAAGGGGAAGGCAGACCGCACTCTATAAGTGTTGCCGGAGAGGGCCTGGGCAGAGGGAGGAAGCTACCTCACCTCTGAGAGAGGATGCTGGAGAACTTGCTAGGGGAACACCCTGAGGCACAGTGTGGGAGGGGATTTTCCACCTTGAGGAGTGAGAAAGGCTTCCAGGCAGGGCTCTCAAGGAAGCCGGGGCTCCAGGACCCCTGGGTAAAAGCAGTGTTGGGACTGCGCAGGCCCTGTGCAAAGAGGCCTGTGTGTACTCTTAGGGGTGAATGGGGTCCTATAGTAAATAGATTTAAGGAAGTTCTGGATTAAAAGGTGTTGAACAGGGGCTCTCCCCGGTGGCACAACAGGTTAAACACAGCATTATGAAGCTCTCCGAAGCCACCGCACCACGAGCTCTATCTCCGGCCAGGGAACTGACCCACATGGCGCGGCCGACCTCAGCAGTGTACTTTGTCAATTTGCCTGTTCTGCTCCCCACTCTGTCTCTGGTGAATCTTCTCACCCACCACACCTCTGGCCTGTACCCCAGTTCTGTAAGCTTAAATAAATAAATCTTAAAAAAAAAAAAAAAAAAAGATGTTGAACAGATCTATGCTGCAGGACTAATCAGAGCCTTTAGCCTGTAATGTGCAGGTGAGCCTCATGGAGTGTCCCAGGACTGGTGTTCACTGCATCAGGCACATGGGTGGCAGTGGGTGGTTGATGAGGCCAAAGAGAATGCAAGGGGCTTTGAATGCCAGGCCAAGAAAGCTGCACTTTGGGTCCTTGCATACAAGGGAGTGTGAGACCCACTGTGCCCAGTTACAAGCTCTTGGCTCCTCGGAAAGGAATCTGTTCTACTGAGATATTTCAAATCTAAAAGGAGACTCCCAGCCACTGTTGGGCAGAAGCTCTGAGAAGAGTGTCCTTCCCAGGAGAAGGAGCAGAGCAGTTTGCCATAAAGCCTGGGAAAGGGCCATTTCCACCTTCTGTGGCTCCCAGTCAACAAGTCTGCTATTGCTACAGGTTCTGACTGCTTATCGCTCCCCCAAAATAACTTTCATGCAATGCCTGACCAGCTGCAGCTCTCTCTGCCACTCCCTTACTTTAGCAGGCCAGGGGCAGCCCCTCTCTCGTGGCCATGTGTAGTGGACTGAAAAGTGTCCATCTCTCCCCTGCCTCGATGCATGTTCAGCCAGGAGCTCACGATGGGGCCTTATTTGGAAGCAGTGCTTTGTAGGGTTGAAATGAAATCACGCTGGATTAAGGTGGGCCCTAAACTCAATGGTGTTCTAATAAGATGAGGAAAGGACAGAGATCCACAAGGAACAAGTCAATAAAAGGCAAGCTGCAGCTCCCAGCCACAGAACACCAGACTGCTGGGAGCCACCAGGGCCAAGGAAGAATTCTTCTCTAGAACCTTCTGAAGATTGGCACAGCCCAGCTAACACCTAGACTTCAGAGCTGTGAGAGAATACGTTTTGGTTCTTCTAGCCATTGAGTTTGCAATGATTAATTATTAGAGTTTTCAGCAAACGAACCCAACACTGCTATAGACCCCTGCCCTGGTTTACCCCACCTCTCAGCCCCACTGCAGACGTCAGGAAAGGACTCCACACACGTGGTTTCCCAGACGGGAATTTTAATGTGGTGAGTTATGATCACAGCTATTTTCTCCAGACCAATATCTTTGAATTCTGCATCCGCTAGGCCTGTTTCCTACACAAGGACAAGGGCCCTTCTGTCTTTGCTTGAAAGACGATAATCCAAGAAGAGTTGAAACCTCAGTAACGACAAATAAATATGGGTCCTACAGGCAGCGTGTGGCCGGTGACGGCACGTGGTAGTCCCTGGCTCAGTCAGTGGTCGGGCTGGACAGGTCACTGTAGCCTCATGCCGCTCCGGCGCCGTGAATCCTTCCGGGCAATGGGGCTGAAGTTCACAATCTCCTTGTAGATGTGTTCTGAGGAAGGCAGGGCGGCTCAAGGTTGGGGAGGCGGGGGGGGTGTGAGGGCGAGAGCACCTCCCCCAACAGATATAGGGTGGCACAGACAAGACAGAAATGCACAGGGGAGACAGGACCTGCTCAGAGAAAAGCGGTATCCAGGCGGACAATAGGGCCTGTGAGGGCCTGGCCAGAAAGGAAGGAGACGAAGGTGAGAGCGGCTGCCTGCAGGCAGAGGAAAGAGCCAGGGCCTTGTTCTTACGCTTCCATTCATCCACTGTGAGTTTCTCATGCTCTAAGGAGTCATCGAAGGGCTGCTGGGCCTCTGTCTCCTCCTCAGGGTCCCGGAAGGGATCAAAGAAGGGGTGGGTGAGGGCCTGCGAGGCTGTCAGGCGCTTGTCCACATCCAGCTCCAGCAACTTGTCCAGCAGGTCTGTGGCTGCAGGAACAGACCGAGCGTCTCACACCCAGGCCTGGAAGAGCACCAGCCCCCCCTCCCAGACTGCTGCAGCCGGGGAGGGCAGGTCAAGACTCACCCTGCGGGCTGGCGTGCGGGAAGAGCTGAGAGAAATCCTTCTTGGGGCTCTGAGGCAGGGCTTGGATGTAGGCCTTGGCCTGGAAGACAGAAAAGCATGACATTGTACCCACAGAGAGCTCCTGGGGATGCCGGCTTCGGGGTACAGTGCAGGGATTCCAGAAAAGCCAAGGGCAGAGCTGGGGTACAGGTCAGAGTCCGAACTGGAACCTGCCAGGGCAGGGCAGGGGTGAGCCCTGCTCCACAAAGACTTGCAGCCCTCCGGGCCTGGCCAGCCAGGGCCACAGCAAAGCCACTCACCGCTTTGTCGTTCAACTTCTGCACAAATTCCGCACCCGGGACACCGGTAACTTTCAGGATCTGGGTCAGCTGGTCCAGGTCTTGGCAGCGGGTTAAGGCTGGGCCTCAGGCTTGATGGTGAGTCTAAGGCCACCCTGCCTGTGCCCCCATCACTCCCACTGGTATGGTTCTCCACATGCCTACCGGCTCCTGCTTGCAGCAGAGAAGGGCCGTCTCTCAGGACTCAAGTTTCTGGAAGACAGCCCCGCCTGCCAGGCTGGGTCCAGAGCCCTTCCCTACAAATGCTCCTGCACACAGGGCCTTCCAGGCCCTCCCCCCACCCTGTTACCATCATCTGTTGAGGGAGTTCCCCAGGGTGGAACCGGATCTCCCCAGCGACACCTGCATAGCCTGCACAGATGCTCAATGTGCAAGGTATCAGGAAGTGTTTTCTACCTGTGGTGGAATGACAGGTGACTGGTGTTCATCATTAACTTTGCTCTACAGTGCACATTAAGGGGGGAAAAAAAGAGAGGTTTCAATAACAGAGTGTCTACTCTGACAGAGTTTGGACAGAGATTTCTTCCAGCAAAGGATACAATCTTTTCCCTTGAACAGAGTTTTCCCGGTCAGCATCTCTGCCATGATACAGCCCACAGACCAGATGTCCACTGCGGAGGGGACAAGGGGTATTAGTGGGACCGTTTGACCAGGACCTGGCAGTCAGTCAACCCAGAGTAGCCAAGGTTTCAGCTGCCAGAGAAGAGCCCCAGCCGCTCCCTGGGCAGCTGACAGCTGATGACCACTGACCCGTCTGGTTGTAGTGCATCCAGCTGAGGATCACCTCAGGGGCCCGGTACCAGCGGGTCACCACGTAGCCGGTCATCTCTGTGTCAGCAGGCCGTGCGAGCCCAAAATCCAAGATCTACGGCTCAGTGGACATGGGAGAAGGAGCTGGCTGAGGAGGGCAAGCTCCAGGAGCAGCTTTGGGGGTCCCTGGGAGGGGGGGACCCACCCCAACCCCAGGTTGACCCTGCCTGTGGCCACTCACCTTCAGCTCACAGTCCTCATTCACAGCAAGGTTGCCTGGTTTCAGGTCCTAAGTGAGAGGAGAAAGCAGGCCTTGAGTGGATGGGTTCACTGCCTGTGCGCGGCCAGTCACCTCTGGGCATGAGTCTCCCCAAGAGTTGGCCCGCTCTGCTCTAAAATGCTCCTGATTCTTGGAGCCTGAAACATATAGCTCAGGGCTTGCTTTGTTTGCGCCGTCCCTGGAAGGTGCCCTGGCACACAGCGGGCGTCCTGCAGAAGCGTGCACTTACCCTGTGGATGACCCCAGCTGAGTGGATGTACTATGTGGGAGAGAGAGAAGAGGAAGTGAGCGCCAGGCATTTCAGGCTGGCTCAGAGCCCTCCTCAACCCTGCTATAGGGGCTCTGATCCAAGGCCTAGCCTCTCCCAAACTTCAGATCTCAGTACCAAGGCAGGTACTGTTCTTCATCCAGGTCCCTACCCACCTTAAGACCCTTAAGCATCTGATACACCAGGTACTGGATTTTTTCCTCACTGAACTCCATCCCCATGATCTTCTGCAGGTCCGTCTGCATGAAGGGCATCACCAGGTAGCTGCAAGGTAAGGGGAGTTCTTGAATAGCCCCCCCGCCCCTGCCAGCCCCAAACGGGTCAGAGGAGAGGTGAGGGTATGGGACAGAACAGGGGGCTTCAAGAAGCATGTAAGAAGAACCGGCTGCCTATGCAGCCAGACACCCATGTGGGCCTCCCAGCTCCTGGCTCCCAGCCTGACTGCAGCGGCAACCCTGTCTGCCAAGCTCAGAGTTTTAACTGGACTATGCTCAGGAAAGCAAAATGGAGCTGTGTTTCCTCTCTTCAAAGGTGCCCTCCCCTTACCCTCCTACAGAAAGCCACAGCTAAGTTAGAAACATCTAGCAGTATTTCCTTCTGGGTCTCTCCAAATATTTGCTCCCCTGGAAGGTCATGCCTGGTCGGTATGACTCCACAAACAAGCGAAAAAATGTCAGCCCTTCCAAGAAGAAAACAATGAAACAATTTGCAGGAGGGTGGTAGGAGGAAGAAGGTGCCCGAGCCATTGCATCCTTTCAGGATTGCAAAACGGGTCAAGGGCAGCAAAATCTAACAGTTACTCAAGGTCCTGAAGAGCAAAGTCCAGAAGGAAAAATAATAAAGATTTTTAAAGTAATATATTTTTTTAAGGGGGTGATAGAGTGGACGTTAGCAATCATCTCCCTGATGGCGACCGTCAGAGGTCTTTTTCTACCTGTTCTCAACATCCAGGCCCCCAACCAGGACCCTGTTCCACATACAACCCCCTCCTGGTCTTTGTCCCCTTCACCCCCCAGGTGGACTCTGGTTCTTTCTTCTTGGCTGGTTTTCTCACTGTGCTAGAACCACTCCCCCTGAACCTATTTCTTCAAGTAGTCACCCATTTCCCCTTTTTCTCTCCTCCCCAAACTTCTAGAAAGAGGGATCCATATCCTTTGCTCCCACTGCCTTAACTCCCAGTCCCAGCAACCCAGAGTCTGCTCCTCTCACCAAAACTTCCTGGATCAAGGTCACCAGTGATGGTCTAACAAACACACCCATGGCTCCCTTTCTTCATGTCTGACCTTGTGCAATGTCTGTCACTCCTTCCAGAGCCTTTGCTGATTCTATACCTGCTCAGGTGCTCTGTTCTTCCTCTACTCATGCTCTTGAGCCTTCTCTTCAATGCTGCTACCTCAGTCAACAGTGTCACTTTCTAACTAACCTGTTCCTGGGCTTTAGCTATCACCATGGATGATTCTTCCAGCCCAATCCACACCCTAGGCCCAGATCTTCCAACCTCGAGGTCAGATTATTGACAAGTGATCAAACACTTGTACATTCTTCAGAAGTGAAGTGTGCACATGGAATTCATCATCTTTCTCCCAAGATGTGTTCTTCCTTTACCTGTTAACCATATGGGTCTGGCACGCCCTCACCTATGCCATGTCTCCCAGATGCTGCACCCACCAATATCACATTCCCACAGCCCTGCCTCCTGAGAGGTGTCGAGTTGGCTCTGGCATCCCGCCACCTTGACCTTGTTTGGCTCTAAGTCTGGGTGTCCAACGCCAGTGACCAGCTTTTCCCACTCCTTGCTCCTTGCTTGATTCCATCAGAGAGTAACCCGCAAATCTGCCCTCACCACATCAACTCTCCACTCCGAACCTCCACAGACCTGAGGTCACTTATGGGGCCAAGTCCAGCTCAGCTTGGCCAAAGTGGCCATGGGCCTCCACTAACCATCTGAACGTCTCAGTATTGCTCAATCTAGTCTCTTTCGTGCTTTTTGAGGCTCTTGCCATTCCCTCTGCCTGGGATGTCTTCATGCACCCCCATTCCACCTGGGGCACTGGTCTACTTTAAACTCCCAATGCTAAGCTCAGCAACTGGCATTATAGAAAAAAAAAATTCATTCAAAATTATTACCTTAAATTTAAAAGAAAAGCATGTTAACAAAGAGCCATCAGTTGTATTTGAAATAAGATTGGGGAGAAAAAAATCCGTTTTCCCAAAGGTTCGTATATTTTAGTTTAGGCGCTGTACTAATCTTGAATATTTGTGTGCATTTACTGACAAAGTTTTCTGGTTCTGTGTGACTTTGTCAAGCACTCCGTCAGTCAGACAACCCAGGCCTCCTGATCCCTGCTTCCTGCTAGGAAGTGACCAAGACCAGGGCCTACACCTGAGGCCCCAGGGCGTGGCCAGGTGAGTTGGCGCCAATTCTGTGAGGACTGACAATTCTGTCTGAGCAGACACTATGTACCAAATTAGCACCCTACAAAGCCCTTCCCCCCTTCTCTTTGCCTGCCTTGGCTTAAAGAATGGCCCAGGTGAGAATCCTACTTCAGAAGCCCAAAGGTACGAAGACTAGTGGGTAGGAAACCCAGAACCTCCCCCTCTTGTTTCCAATGGCAAGTAAGATCCCAAATGCTCCAGAACCCAAGACAGCCCACTCACAAGTCATGGAAGTTGCGCAGGGAGGTGGCTGGGGTGAAGACGTCCAGGAGCCCGATGACCTGGGGAGAAGGTCATCAGTGAGGGTGGGGCAGCTTCCTCTCTTCCCTTCCCAGGACTCCAGCCAGGCACATGAGGACCACCCACCCTTTCCTAATATACCACCTCCAGGAGGAGGCAGGGTCCTGGCCTTCTTGGGAGCAGTAGCAGGGACAGAGGAATACCCCCAACTGGGAAGGAGCTTGCTAGTAACTGATGGGCAGTCAGACTGGGGAGCAGTCCGTGGACCATCCTGTGCTCTGTGCCCCCAGATCCGGTGATCAGAGAAGCAACACAAACCCATTCTCCACTCAAGCAGGGAACTGTAAGTGGAGAAGAGAATCAAGGAGACGCAGGGAAGGGGGCTTGTAGCCAGCAGGCACCTGCCCTCGACCTTGGGTCTTCTGCCACATTCTTCTTTGCCTGCCACAGGGCTGGTACAGAGCCAATGGCAAGATCACCCCTGGCTAGAGGCCAAGGAAAAGGGTATGCTGAAGAAAAATGAGGCTTACCACGTGCACATTATTAAATCATTTAAGCCATTTGCCTTCCAATCCAGGTATCTCAGAGGAAACTCTGGTTGCCAGCCCCAATCCTGGGTCACTAGTTTTCCCAGCTGTTTTCCTAGTTTTTCTGCTACCCTAGTAGGTAGCAGTTGCATGGCTACCCACTGAGGCCTGGAGCCAGACTGCCCAAGGACAAACCCCAGCTCTGAGCTGACTAGCCATATAACCTGTGGTTTGTTCTGCATCCTTTGCCCATCTGTTCATGCAGGTAACTGTGCTCGTGGTGTGGGCTACAGAGGATCAGGCCAGTTAGTATATGCAAAGCTCTTGGTGTATGGCACATGTGCGCAGCCAATATCTACAACTGTTACCAGGTTCTATGTGGAAACATGAACCAGGATTCTGGGCATCATCTCTTAGATCTAGGGCAAATCACTAAAGTTCCTCTGTGCCCATTTCTTCATAGCAGTGACACAGGGAGCTTACACTTTACAAAGCTCATTTGGCTCCCACACCCAAAATACACTTTACATTTTTCTTAGGAAGTAAGCAAGTCCTGACACCCATTTTTTAACAATGAAATGAGAAGGAGGGTGGCAGGAGAGGCTCCTTCTCCTGTCTCTGTCTTGCGCTCTCTGCTTTCCTCTAGGTCATCTGGGGAGGGGGGCAGGGGGCGAGGTGGGGGGGCTTCCCCTTCCAGTCTTCCCAAAGTAGCCCCAGCCCCAGCCTACATTCTCATGCTGCATGTGTTTCAGCAGCAGCAGCTCCCGATAGGCTCGCTTGGCAAAGATTTCAGACTGGAAGGGCCGGCTCAGCTTCTTGATGGCTACCTTCTCCCCTGACCGCTTGTCGATGGCGGAGCTGTAAGGGCACAGGCAGGTCAGCGGACAGTGACTCTCCTCCTGGACAGTGTCCACTCCAGATCTTGAGTACTAGGTCCCAAACCATCCTCAGCCCAAACCCTCCTTATCCAGGCTGGGAGATGAGCCTCCCCTTCCCACCTAGGAGGTGGGGAGCAGCAGCCTGAAGCATCCCTAGGGAGGAGGGAGCAGACAGAAACTGAGAGGTGCACCGTATAGCTAGCGGCAGACCTAGGTTGATGCCCACACCATCCAGGGCTTGAGCGAGGCTCACTTGACAAGTCTTTCTCCCTCTTTGGGTCTCTGTGCCCATCAGTAACAATGCGGGTTCGCTTGGGCGAACTCTAGGGTGCCCTGCAAGGTACAAATCCTGGAGCACCAGATCTAATCCCAGTTCAACTCACAGAGACCCATGAGAAAAGCGAGATGGTGCCTGGGGTGGCCCCAGGCCAGCCTCAACCACAGCCTCAGGCTTCTGCTTCACACTCCACTTCGCAACCCAGCCTGTCGCCGCCTCCAGCCCCAAGGTGCAGCCCCAAGGGTTCCGGCTAGGAACCGTCCCCGTGGAGGCCCTGGCGAGTCTTCCACGGCCGCAGGGCGCCGCCCTTGGGGTCTTCGGTCGAGGTGGTGGGCGCGGCCCTGAGCGCCCAAAGACGGGTCCCTCAAAGGCGGGTGGGGGACAAGTGCGCCCCCTGGCCCATGCCCGTCGGGAGCCTCCGCCCGCAGCCGGGTGCCCGCGCGCCCGCTTCGGTCCGCCCCGACGCCCGGCCGTCCCCCTCCCCCGCGCCACCCTCGCCCCCAGCGGTCGCGCGGCCCCGGGTCTCACCACACGGCGCCATAGGCCCCGCTGCCTACGTGCGCCAGGGACACATAGGGCTTGGGCAGCTCCCAGGCGGTCTTGTTGACGTCCTGCTTGTAGAAACCCTTTTTCCGGGTGAGGCTCATCCCGGGCACTCAATCTCGGCGGCCCCAGCGCGGCGGCTAGGTTCGCGGCCGCCGGGCTCTCAGGCCCGGTCCCCGCCCGCGG